CGCCGCATTCTTCCCTGACGCCACATTCCTCCCCTGACGCCACATTACTCCCTGACGCCACATTTGACGCCACATCCCCTGACGCCGCATCCCCCCCTGACGCCGCATTCCCCCCTGACACCGCATTCTGGCGCCGCATTCCCTGACGCCACATTGCCCCTCTGACGCCGCATTACCTCCTGACGCCACATTGTGGCGCCACATTCCCGGACGCCGCATTTGCCCGTGACGCCACATTACTCCCTGACGCCGCATTCTGGCGCCGCATTCCCTGACGCCACATGGCCCCTTTGACGCCGCATTACCCCCTGACGCCACATTGTGACGCCGCATTCCCTGACGTGACAGGACCCCGTCTGATGCTCCAAACTGCACGAAACGGTTCTTCGTAGCAGGGGCCGTTTTGACACTGTTGAAGCAGCAGGCAACCCCAACACATGTCCAAGATATGGCAGAACACACAGCGCGACAATTGGACATTGTGTTGTATTAAAAGGTAAGAAGCCCCCGTACCGCGCACGGTATGATTGAACATAGACTTCCTACTTAGCTCAACGTACCACTGAAACGGGACTGGGCACCCTTAACAGTAAACTTGTGCGTTGAAGCTCTTGTTCGCGCAAATCTGCACTAAACCCTGCCACTCCCATCACCCTGACATAGGCTTCAGATGATACAAAACACCAGGCATCCTTGAGTCTGGGTTGAAATGAGGCCCAACATGGGCCCACAATTCACTCAACATAGCTTCAACTTAGCCTCCAAATGGGTCCAGCGCGTCCAACAGAAGTTTGTCGAATATTCGGGTAAGTCACCTCATGGGGACACATGCGCAAAACCTTCAAGATAAGTATGAATGGTCTGCTCTCAGAATGCAATCCCCCCATGACAAAGGCTGGTTTTTCTCCAAACCATGTGTATATCACGCTGCGCCGGCAGCTGCCATCACTTCCATTGGGGATGGTACCTGATATAACATGATGAGAGTCAGGGAAGAAAAGCAACAATACAATACAACTTATCTATTTGATCATGTCTGTCATGACCCTTGCATTTTTCATCAATGGATTTGGGTCCAATTCATTGGACCTTGCAAACCACAAAATCCTTACAAACAAGGCCATCACCGGCACAACAGCGTCGAAATGATTATTTTCGGCGCTGCCACGAGAACGCTACTTTTTTCGATGCGGCGAGGACCACTGCGGGAATGCGACCTTGGATTTCCGGTCAGAAGGTCCTGGTGGTACCTATTTCAGTCTATCCTTTGTCATGTTCACCATCCACCAGCTAACAAACCCGGACACACACTCCACAGCTGTGCGTGTCTTCTGTAATATGTATGTTGTAGCAATGGCAGTCGTTAGTCAGGGGCCGTCTGGGAGGTTCCAACGTTCCAGTGTGTTCAGGAGGAAAAGCTAGCAAACAAAAACCACCCCGAGATTTTTGAAGATATCGCAGCACAAACTCCATGAATGGATGTAACATGATGTAACAACTGTACCTTCTCTCTTGAAGACAAAGAAGGTTCCAGGATTGTGATGGATTCTGTAGGGTGGGCTTGAATATCTTGAATGATGCTTTTTCGATATTGTAGCCACAGGACAGCATCTGCCAGGTGCATCGATCGGTTGATGCAAAACACACATCTGAGGCCACGGGTAGGGCATGGGAAGGTGTTTCCTTGTCCGGAAGGAATGACATGAAGAGACTTCTGCGGAGTTTAAGAGTCTGGGTGATGAATATGCAAGATTGGTTTCTTATGTAGACCCTAGGTGTTCTCTCATGTCTAGGCTGTGAGGAAGTCTGAGATTGTGGATTCCAGCTCCTTTGAATTCGGTGTTTGGGTTCAGGGATCACCTGCAACATCATCATGGAACTGCTCAAAGGACATGAAAAAGCACACAGACAGACATGTGACATGTGCGTGTTTCTGGATGCACAAACAAAGCTCCCGCAAAGCCAAATCTCCCAGCAATGTCCGCATCGGCCGGATTGCACTGAGATCTCCGCACCCTGTAGCGAGGCCCATAGCGCTGCTCCCGGCCGGTGCCATCCCAAAACTAGAGAACCACAACGAAGACCCAAACGTGCATGTTCAGGGGGATTCAGCCCCATGTTGCATCTGTTTAAATATGTTTCAAAAATCCGGCGATCGGTCCCAATCCCGAACCCCAAATCCATGGGGGAAAATGATGGAAAAAGGATCACTTAGGACATCCCTGCGGACGAACTCCCAGTCCCTGCGGTCAACTTCCACCCTCGGAAGACCCTCAGAGTACCGACTGGCATCCATGGCATCCATGGCATCTCCAGATCTCCTCCTCTTCGCTATCCATGCCGACCAATGGCTCAGCTCACAGCTGTGAGCCCAAGAAGCAATGGCCATGATGATCATGACGGGATGTGTAACTACTATAGCCTATAGCCATAAACAACGGCTGCTGTGGAACGCAGACCATAAACATGCTACCTCCACGTACATGGCAGCACATGAAGCGGCAATCAAAGATTTCTGCTGCTATAAACTGCATCTTCAGCCATCGGCACATATCTGCTCAATCCGATCCAACATTGCCATCAGAATTCGTCTGCGGAAAGCGTCTTCGGGGTCTAATTCGTCTTCGGGGTCTAATTCGTCTTCGGAGAATTCGTCTGCGGAAATCGTCTTCACATTGCGGGAGGAGAGGTGGCTGTGCTTGAATGTGTCTTCGTCTGCGGGTGGAAAAGTGGGACCCCCACAGCGGCTGCAATGCGAACATGCAACCCTCTGCGGAGATCGTGCGTGTCGTGTGAACGAAATGCAGGTGAGAGTGCGATTTGGCCCGTTCCCGCACGACCCTCTGCGGAGATCGCGCGTGTCGAGTGCGCGAAATGCAGGCGAGAGTGCGATATTGGGTCGGTCCGCGCGCAACCCTCTGCGGAGATCATGCGTGTCGAGTGCGCGAAATGCAGGCGAGAGTGCGATTTGGCCCGTTCCCGCGCAACCCTCTGCGGAGATCATGCGTGTCGAGTGCGCGAAATGCAGGCGAGAGTGCGATTGGCGCGGTCCGCGCGCAACCCTCTGCGGAGATCGTGCGCGTCGAGCGAGCGAAATGCAGGCGAGAGTGCGATTGGCGCGGTCCGCGCGCAACCCTCTGCGGAGATCGTGCGCGTCGAGTGCGCGCAATACAGGCGAGAGTGCGATTGGTTCTGCGCGTGGACAGCCCTCTGCGGAGATCGTGCGTGTCGAGTGCGCGAAATGCAGGCGCGAGTGCGATGCGTCATGTACGCGGGCAACCCTCTGCGGAGATCGTGCGCGTCGAGCGCGCGAAATGCAGGCGAGAGTGCGATGGGTTCTGCGCGTGGGCAACCCTCTGCGGAGATCGTGCGTGTCGAGTGCGCGAAATGCAGGCGAGAGTGCGATGTGTCACGTGCGCGGGCAACCCCCTGCGGAGATCGTGCGTGTTGAGTGCGCGAAAGGCAGGCGAGAGTGCGATGTGTCCCATGTGCGCGCAACTTTGTGCGGAGATCGTGCGTGTCGAGTACGTGAAATGCAGGCAAGAGTGCGATTTGTCCTGCGCGCCGGCAACCCTCTGCGGAGATCGTGCGTGTCGAGTACACGAAACGCAGGCGAGAGTGCGATCTGTCGGGTGCATACGCGCAACCCTCTGCGGAGATCGTGCGTGTGGAGTACGCGAAAGGCAGACGAGAGTGCGATCTGGGCGGTACTTGGATGAACGGGGTGTGTTGTAAGTACTTGGCAAACATGGCATACTTAGTATGTCTGCCAAGTCATACTTATAACTTCGCCAACATATACTTAGCAGCCTTCCAAGTATGCTAACTCTGCGACTGGAGATGGCAGAGTTGCTGGCAACATATATGTTCACCCTATAACTGTATGTATGTTCGCTGTCTACATAGCGAACACTTGGCGAACATAGCACATGGTTAAAGCTACCTGAGCTAAGTACATAATTCGTACTTAGCTAACTGGCGCGAAGTCTGCTAAGTGTACTTAGCTAAGTCTGCTAAGTCTGCCCGGTGGACTTAGCTAAGTCTGCTAAGTGGAAAACTTGTTTGTGTCTTCTATATAGATAAAAGAAGAGCCACGAATGGAAGCTTCAGTAATAACAGGAGCTGCCATTCGTTTTTTTAGTGTAAGCCGATGGAAAATACTATATATATAAGGCGTTATATAAGAATATCTGTGTATGGTGACAAAAAACACACACAAACCGAACAAAACAAACAACCGGAAACGTGAAGGAGTACACCAACGGGTTCGTCGATCTCCGGTTCGTTTACTTGTAGACTTGGGGGTATGGACCACCAGAAAATTGTGGTGAACTATGTTGGTGGGGCGTGCCCCCAACATTTTAGATATGTTTTTGATATCTTTAGGGTCTTTAGGTTAATTGTACATTGGGTCCATACCCCTTCTCCCCCCCCCCAAAAAAAGGCGCGCAGGCCAGCGCCTGCCACGCCTGGGCGGCAGCCTGTGCGCGCACAGGCTGGGGACCCGGAAGCGCCGGGCAGCAGGGGGACGCGGGTGAAGTGAGGACGGTGGAATCCATTGGAAGAGGATGTCCCCAAAGACCTTTGAAAGGTCTTTGGGGGCCGCCTATTCCAATGTATCGATGCGTCGAAGGATGCGTCGAAAAATGTTGAAACAGGATGTCCCCAAAGACCTTTGGAAGGTCTTTGGGGGCCGCCTATTTCAATATATGCGTTCACAAAAGGTGTCCAATTCGGTGGAGGGATGTTATCCACTGAGATTGAATTTATAAATATATTTTGTTGGATGTAATAGATGGTCTCTGGTAACTTTTGAGGGTCTCCGGTTGGGAAAGGGAAACCCCGCAAAGTTTAATGGGTGTAACTTTAAGGGAGGGGCCCCCGGGGGGAGGGTGAGATCGTATCGTTCGTTCGTTCGTTGAGCAGGGTGTTCTTCACCCGCCAGCAGGGCTGAAGCTCGCTGTCGCTTAAGTATCTGTTGGCTTGCCGTGGCCATGGAGGCAGCTGCCAAGACAGAACTGGGGGCTGCAATCGCCAAAGCTGAAGATGGTGCTTTGGTGTCAGGAGTGAACGGGATCTTTGCGGTTCTCAAGAAGCACGGACTCCTCCGTGAAGTGGTGATTGAACCCGACTACGTCGGCGTTCATCATATGAACCGGGACGGTTTCGGCATTAGCGTGCAAGACGCCCATGACCTGATGAGCCACATTCTGGAGATAGGCTGGGCATCGGAGCAGTGCGCACCAGTTGCGTGTGAAGTGCCTCCTGCAGAGGCAGAGCATGCATTCGACTTCAACTGCAGGCTTGCGGCTTTGTCGGGCTCAATGCTCCCAGCAATCCAGAAACACAACTTGAAATTCCTATCCTTGTCTGGATCTCACACCAATGCTGGGTTGAGGGCTATCAGGCATGGTTGTTTGTCGCGGTGCGACAATCTCACTCAGGACGGAAAGATGTCCTTGCAGAGAATCGCCACCCGAGACCCCATCTTCGGGGAGGTTTGCCGGACTGGGCTCCGATGGCGAGTCATTGCGCATGAAGCCATGACCGCATTCCCATCCATGGCATTGCTGGTGCAAGCAGCGCTCAACACGTCCGGCCAGCTCGCCCGTGGAGAGCACGAGCTGCAGATCCTGCAGCGCATCCTAAATGCGGTGAACCAGGCCCAGAACCTTGATGGCCCTTTATGGAAACATTTTGTTTTGAAATATCGATGATAAAGTCTGTTGGATAGGTAAACCACAAGTAGCCTTGTTGGACAGCAAAGGAAGGCCGGAAGAGCCTTGGAATGGGCGACATTGCGGCCACAGTTGATGAAGTCGAAGCCAGCCTGTGCGGCTGCCATGCCTGGCATGTTTAGGTTCGTGCTGAAATTCAGCGGAGGCGGATTGATCGACGATACTTTGGCAAGGGTGAAAGCTATGGCCGCTCCAACAAGGCAGCTGGGCCCTGACTTCTTTGAAGTGTTGACCCAGGACCCGAGACCTCCGACAGGCGATCAGTACCTTCATCTCCGGCACGCCATGTTGCTGGCTGCGTACACCGGCCCGGAGAAATTGCTCTCCCCAGCAGACGCACGCAAGCTGCACAGTAAGGACCTGAAAGCGCAGATGTTGGCATCAAACAACCTCATTTTCGAAGTGCGTAAGCTAGTTGAGCCACTGGGTGACCCGAAGGGTGATTTCTCCAGAGCTCTGACAGCTTTTGAAACAGAAGTTGTTTTGATCACCTTGCAGAAAACCCACAAAGATGTACCAACCAGGGACACTGTCGAACAGGCGGCATGTTGCTTTTGTGATGCCTTGCAAGAACTTGGCGCAGCAAGGATTTCTACCAAGTGGGATTCGTTTAGGCCTGCCAAGCGGGAAGAGAGCTCCGCCAGGAAAGGTGGAAAGATTGCTCCAAAGGCAGTGTTTCTGAGTTTGAGCCAAAATAACCTTTAGTGCTGATAAATTCCACGTATACATATGTCAATAAATGTTTGTATATATGTATGTTGACGGGGCGATGATCTGTTGAGTTCAATTGATCCATCCAAGGAAACGAGAGCACCATGAAGATGGTCGGATTGCCAACCATTTGTCCTTGTTGGAAGAGCGTGGGTTTGGACTTGAGTGTTGGGTTCAACGAAAGAAGGATAAGGCTTTTGGGCAAATCAGGGATGTCAAAGAGAACACGGTTGTCTTGAACATCGAGAGCGGACCACTCACAGGGTTGGCTCAGGTAAATCTTGACGCATTTCTCAAAGGTGAGTGGCGCGCAGCCAAGCCACCGGCTGAGACACAGGAGTTGGAAGGCTTCCAGAACCACACGGCGCAGCACTGTCATGAGGGATTGGTGAAGGTGACAGTTGGAGTCCTTGTTGAGAAGCTGACCTTCCTCGAGGGCAGTCACATTTCCGTCTACGATGGCCTCAAGGTCATGCTGAAGCCTTCAAAGAACATTGTCACGACCAAGTCTTTCGCCCCTAAGAAGCTTGTGCTGGTACCAACAACACTGAAGGTGGAGGTAAGGGAAGACCCTCCTGCAGGGTACGTCTCTGTCGGGCGTGTCGGGACAGACATGAGCTTTTGCTTGGGCCCCATGTTCGTGTTGCCCACCGATGGCAAGACAGGCTTTGTCTCGCCGTTTTGGCTGGTGCGTCAAACACACAAGTCAGATGAGGCAAATGTCGAGTTGAGCACAGTGATCGATCCAACTGACAAGAACAGCAAAATGTCAATCCCAGTTCTTGTCAACCCCCATGCGATCCCAGAGGGCACGGTTTTGATGCGGTATGTTGCCAAGCCACCAGTTGAGACAGAAGAGCTTGTCCCACTGGCATCCAAGAGGCGCAGAACCAAAGGTAGCTAGATAGTTTTTGAGGCTCTGTCATTGAACAGATTTGTTTCGCGAAGGCGAACGGTGCCACATTTTTTCCCTTTTAAGTCGGCAGGATGGACTCGAAGCTTCTCCGTGAACGGAAAACGATTGGAGTCAGAAGAAATCAAGTTCCCCATCGATAGTGTTTTCGGGAGAGAGAAACTCACGTGTTGCGAAGCATTGTATATGGCCTGTGCCTCTTCATGTTGTGGGCTGTCTCGATGGATGCAGAACCTGTTGTTTGTAGAGTTTGTGAAGCAACTTCTTTTTGCAGGCGGTGAGGATGGTGCCATTGATGCGTCCGGTGGCCCAATGCACATTGAGAAGACAGCTGGCTGTGAAGCAGTCAACACTGTTGGTGCATGGATATCACTGTGAAACAGTTATCACTCGCTAAAAGTTTTCACCGGATTGAAAGTTTGATGATAGTCTGTCTTTAAGCAAAAACATTGCAGAAGTGTCATGGAAAGAAACATGTTCTTTGAGCTGTTCTTGTACTGCTGGCAGGGCACATAGTGCTCGCGCGCAGGGTGCCCTTCAAGCCCGCGTTGTGTAGCTTTCTAACGGCTCAAGAGGCTCAAATCAGTGAACTTTGAGATGGCATCAGCAAACGCATGGATGGAGAAGGATGAACAGTCATCCACAGAGGCGTGCCCGGGAGAGTTGGCCATCCTCACTTCGATGTGGTTCGTCATCACCAATTGGAACCATTTGACCACCAATTTGGTGGCCATTTGCTTCTCGACCACGTTTGGAAAATTTCACGGCCATATCTGTGTTTCACGGCCATTCGGGCCCGCGTATTGAAATTCACGTTTTTCACGTTTTTTCACGGCCATTCAGCGTTTTTTCACGGCCATTTGCACACTTTTTCACGGCCATATGTCCTGTTTCACGGTCATTCCGGGTTTCACGGCCATTTGCTTTTTTCGCGGCCATTTGGCCAAACGACCACCGGCCACCAAATTGGTGGCCAAATGGTTCCCCAGGTATAATGACAAGAAGTGGAAGTGGACTGAGCCCGACATCATCACCAAGAATGGATTGCACTATATCAAGATCAGCAAGTGGGACCGCAACTTTGTTCGCTTTGCAACAGGGAGGCCGTTGGACCTTCGAGATTATCGAAGCTCAGGGGCAAACGCAAAAGTGTTGGATGACATCGTGACCAAGCGGAACAGTGCCTCTAAGCAGGCAATCGAACAAGAACTTGCCTTGCTAGCCGATGATGCCAACGAGGACCAGGCGCAGAAGCTTAAGAGGAAAGTGCGGCCAGAAGACGGAGATCTTCTGACCACCCCGTTTGTCAGCGTGGACCTTCCTGAGTTCGAGCACGAAGGCAAGCTCTACGGCCCCCTTTTCCCAAAGATCCTCTGGGCAATCACAGGGGCATCCTTCTACATCGAGGCCATCGAGCAGAACTTGCTCTACATCAAGCACGCTGTGATGCTGGGCCTGGAGACCGGAGACCTTGGGTCGCCAAAAAAGAGGGGCAGAAAGCCAAAGGCTAAGAGTTCACCCATGAAGTCTTCGTCGAAAGGTTCACCCATGAAGGCTTCGCCGAAGAAGCTGAAGCCGTGAAGGCTATAGTCTAGTGGATTGTTTGCAATTGCTGCAGTGTTCTTTGCATTTGCCAGCTTAGCGTTGCAAAGGTTTTGGACTCGAAGCTAAAGGAAAAGGTTGGCTCCAACCTGTCACTGAGCTTGTGTGATTGGAACAGTGTTGTAGGCGAGTCCGTTTAACCACAGTTGACCTTGCCTTCAGGCTCTTCAAGTATAGGAAGAGGTTTGGAACTTTGGGTGCTGGTGCCACTGCAGGGCTCCGCTGCAAGATGCTGCTGTCAAATGTTTATGGCAGTGTGCGCTTTGAACCATGGATTCCCTGGATGCTGGTGCCGCTGCAGGGTGATCAACCTCCCAGGGATGGGTCTGCTTGTTTTGCAGTCTTGCGCAGACTGTTCTTCTCTGTCCTTTTGGTGTTGTAGCCCACGAGCTCTGTGGCCCTGCGGTTAACATGGATTGAAAAACATATATATTGAGATCATAGTTTCCGTATTATAGATATCACGTTCATATATTGTTTTCCTATGGCGTTGATCTATTTAGCATGGGGCGAGCCTTCTTAAGCCCTGCCCGCGAGCCCTGGGGCCCTGCTGCTGTGTAACCCAACATGTGCATGCGGTGTCCAGCCATCCACTCCATTGTTCAAAGCAAACTGGTGGTGGATCAGCAAAGATTCAAGAGTTCTGCAAATCCATTGTTGCATGGATCAGTTCAATTCAGAGGAAACGAGGGCGGTGCAAACGTAGATACCGTGTCGAACATGTGGCCCCCCAACTATATAGAATACAATGTTGACCAACTTAAGGACATAGTCATGCAGGAGATGATGCTCGACCGCTGGCTCACATTCTTTAAGCAGGGTTGGGCGACGATCATGGCGAGCGAGGCTGCTGCTCGCGAGGCAGCTGGCTCTGCAGCTGGCGAGGCAGCTGGCTGCGCAGCTGGCGGTGCAGCTGGTGCCACTGATGAAGAGGAGGCGAGGTCAAGCCGACTCTATATGTGTGTGTGATGCATGTGGCATAAAGAGTTAAACACATGCTTGACTGACTGGAGTTGGCACTATAAAAGGTCATGAACCGTCATGAACAAATGCTTTACTGGAGTTGGCACTTGAGCTTCCTTGACAACCGTCCATGACAAGTCCATGAACCCCCTTCAACCACGACAAGTCCATGAACCCCCTTCAACCGCTTGGACAGGTGATTGACACCTTGCCAGATTTGGCCTTGGCGAACTTGCTCCAGCGCATGGCGGGAGATCAGGACAACAATGAGGAGTTTGTTGAAGTGAAGCTTGAGCAAGAGCAGGCAGAGGAGGAGGAGCCGTGGGAATATGAAGAAGATTGGTTTGGGGAGTGGGATTCGAACGAGTCCGGAGCAGAGGAACCGCTGCCACCGCCACCCCCACCATTAGATTCAATGCCACCTCCTCCACCGCCTCCACCACGACAAGACCAGGGCGCAAAGGGGAAATCCAAGAACTCCAAGTCCACGACCAGGCCAAACTCACCGAAGGGCAAAAGCAGTACAGGAAAAGGCTTCAAGGGGAAGAAAGGCTGGACTGAGCCAACCACCCGCGCATATGAGACGGCACGATGGTACAACCGTCAGATCTACAAAGGGGACGGCCGTGGTGGTTTATATGTTCGAGGAGGGTTTGTTGACAAGTCTGGGTACTTTCATCAGTAACTTGGTTGCGTACTTACATCGACACCTTTGGACTTTTGGGTTTCTGTCAGGCTTTTAGGTGGTGGGACTTTACTCATCGGCGCACCGCCCAAGGTATGGCTCTGGCAGGACGCGCTCAAGGTCACGCGGTGATGGAGCGAACTCGGCGCTGCAAGCCGTGGCAGTGAACTTGAGCGAGGCAGTGCGTGGACAAGCCACGACGCCGTCGTGGCGGTGCTGATTGGTAGATTGAGTGTTGAGGTAGTGGTGATAGTGGTGATGATTGAGTGTTGACGTAGTAGAGACTCATCAGAAACCTGTTCAATTGTGACCAACATCAAATAGATACTGAGTTTAGCGCCTTCATGTCCCGTCGATTGCAGCTCTGGTCACTGGATTCATGGCGTTGAATCGACCATGTGACAGGGATGCAATTTGGAACCTTCATATATATAAGGCAAATTGTTTTCTGCCAGGTGTCTCCACCTACACATGCCTGTTGTACATTGCAAGCAGTATATCTTCATGGGCTCTGCCCATTTCTGTCCTTTGGTTTTGGACACTGGAATGCGGAATCAGCACCTCCATAGCTCCACTGGCTCGCGTTGAATGTTAGAACAACAAAGCACTTACACTTTACTCAGTGGTTGATGTGTAGAAAGAGCCGGAGTGGCCTGTCCATTCTGGAGCATAGGTGTGGATTCTGGTATCAAAAAGGTGGAGGAAAGAAGCGCCGGGTTTTGAGAACTATGTCGAAACCTGCGCTTGCCCTGCCTGCGGATTCAGGCTAGTATCGTTGCTCAGCAGACTGTTGAAAGTCACAGTTCAATCCAGCCAGCAATTGAACATATTGCTAGTGGACACGTTGTGCAAGAATAGTAAATAATATGGATTTATACTAATTCAACCACATACCAAACCACAATAATATAGATCTATACTAATTTTTAACTGCACTAGCAAAAATAGTATAGATCTATATTATTTTAGTTTGTGTACACAAAAAATAATATAGATTTATATTGTTTCTATATTATTTTTATTGGGTACCCCAACAAAATAGTATAGATCTATATTATTTTGATCAGCTACTAACAAAAATAATATAGATCTATACTATTTTGTTCAGGCACTACCAAAAATAATATAGATCTATATTAATTGCTATTAGGAACCAACACACAACATCATTGATCTACGCAATTGGAAATCTGTGAGTGAACATGTGTGCAAGTGTCCAATTGCTTGGGTTGAAAGAAACCTTACAGATCTTAGAGTGGCATGATCGCCAGATCACCCTTCAGCCACGCAATCGCACAGCGCAGATCGACAGTGCCAACAGACAAAAAGTGCCAACTGCGGCAAGTTCGACAGAATGAGGGAGAGGCAAACATGGTCACAGAAACCTTGCGGCGAGCTGGGAACCGAATCTTTCCAGATCTATGGACCAGCCACCATCATGTTGATCACTATAAGTGGATACCAGTGTTTTGTGGGCTACTTAGCAGGTAGTGGTGTTGTTTCAGTGTTGTCGCTTCCTTCGGATCCGGTTCGAAGACTGACGTCGTCGCCACGCGTCGGTCGTATGGCACTGACAGTTGGGTCATTGGAGAAATTGGAGGGGAGTGTCCAAACCAAACTTTTCACTTTGGTGCGTTGAGGGGTGTGGTTTGGACCACTGGGGTTGACCATCGAGGTATCGAAGGTTCATGAGGTTCGTGAGGGATACGGAAATTAGAGTTCTTTGGTCTAGATCACTAAGCACACTTCTTTGGTCTAGATCACTAAGCACACTAAGTGTAAAGCACGCTAAGTGTGCACTCCTGGTTTGTCGGACCTTGTCCCCTTTAGGAAGACATCATGCACTGGTTCAACAAGCTGTCTATCACTAGCTGTCTATCCTAGCTGTCTATCCTTCTGCGGTGTACGCCCTATGTCACTCTTCCACCCACCCACCCCTTACCAGGACTCCTTCCTTTCACTCTTTACATGTTTCTAGTTTTGGTTTAGTTGAGAGTTGAGACTTTGAGAATCTTTGAGCATTTGTGGCTATAGTTGAGACGCTGATCATTCTTTCACACGTGAAGTGAGTCAGATGGCCAAGCGGTCCCGGTCACCCACACCAGAGATTCAGATGAGGGCACCACGGATGTGGGAGTTGGCGTGGGTCGATGAGGATGTAGAGTACATCACTGGTGCCAAGTGGCGGCTCCCCCGTGGTGAGAAGTGGAAGAACCTCTATGCGCTCTCAATCCCCCACGTGATTGCACGAAACCCCATCTACATCAACTGCAGTGGTTCAATCGCAAGTTCGCACAAGTATGTATGGGTGCGCGACCATTGGTTGGAGGGTTGTCCATGGGACCCAGACCTCATCGAGTACCGGGAGACTACTGGACGCTTCAAAAACATCTTGCTCCGCTCGGTTCCTACCACCCCGATTATGATCACATGGAGAATGATTCCGAATGATGACAGGACCAAGTGGCTTGCCCAGGTTTTCTTTGCTGCCTCCGGCAATCAGCTCGGAGTTGTGATTGTGCCGGCTGAGCACGAGGGCCGTCTCATGGTGACAGATTTGACCCGCATGCTGAATGAGAACCTGTCCAACACAGGTGAGTATTCAAGACTCCAACAGTTTAAGAACAGCTACGGGTTCGGCCCCAACCAGCGAGTGCGGTTCGTAGCTGACTGAGTGTCCTTTAAATCAGGATTGACTTTGTCAAGACTGTGAATGTTTTTGAACAAACCGTTTGCGCAAATGAAAAAGCAGTGAAACACAAACGAAAGGCAAACTCACTGTTGAGCAGGGCTTCGGCTCGCCTGCAGGTGTTCCTTCTGGAACAACGCAGACAACCTGTTTTCTCATGTCTTCTCTAGCTCTTTCATCTTGTTGCTGAGTTGCCTTTGCTCTCTTTTTGCATTCTGTTTGCAAGCCAGTCAACGTTTCTAGACTTGTGCATTGAGCAGACATGCTTGGACTTCTGGAATTCTTTCAATTGAAGTGTTTGTTGCTTTGTTGGTCGACAGTTTCGATCAAAGGTGATCGAAGTGTGAAAGAGACTGGAACCTTGGAACTCTTCTGATCCCTTGCGTCGTTTCTTTGTAAGGGGTCAAGATCTACTCAAGATCTACTGTAGTAGGGAGTATGGACCAGTTTGAAGCCACTCAAAAGTATTTGGCTTCCGCAAACAGCCATGCAGAGTGCGCTCAACAACAGTGCTCACTCTGGATCAGGCGCCTGTCCCAGATGAGCCTGGAACCAGGCCACGCCGTATCTTGGATCACCACCATGAAGATGGGTCCATGGACACCAGAGCAACTAGAGTCGCTCATACAAGGAGTAAACAGT